CGTAACGCTCACTTGGCTCCAGTGACAATGACCTTGCCAGTCAAGTCGGATAGGTCGCGGACAGGATCAAAGTGAGAACAGACCATATTGCAGATAAATAAAGAGATGCTGATATCCGTTTTTTTTGTTCCGCTGAGTTCAAGCGGTCAAGGTCATCGAGAGGACAACATGTTGCCGAAACGAGAGGTGGAAGCCTGCGTTCTTCTTTTCGGCCTGGAGGACGTGTCGGGTGCACGGTCGAGTCTCCACTGAGCCAAAGAATAGCGGGGTCTAGGAACCTGCATACGTGTTGATTTCATTGGCCTGGCGGACGTGTCGGTTGCACGGTTGTTCAAGATTAGAGTAGATCTGCAACCAGAGCGACTTTAACGGTTGCTTTTCAATAAAAAGAGAGAAACACGTATAAAACTAGGCCTAGTGAAGTATCGCAAAGAGATCTTAGGTCGGCCACAGTGATGAGAACAAGTTGGAGCAAGTATACTCCAATTCAACGGCGTTTAGTGCTAGCGTGTCGACAACTGAATCCAGTGTAAAGAGACTGCCAAACTGAGTGATTGCCAAGGAGGGATGCTTACGTTAGCGCATCGTGCACGACCATGTGACACAAGCGTGCTTTCAACAACGACGGTTTGGAACTCCAACCATCACCATCTCTGCAGCCATGGTCGCCGCAGGCTCCATTACCGTTGCTGGTCAGCTTTTGTTCGATTTTGTATGGAACTATCGCTCATTTTACTGCAGTGCGGGTACGCCCACCGACAGCAACCGAAGCCGCTCGTCTTCCTGAGCCATGTTACGACACCACCATTCGCGGCGACGGTACTCTCTCAACGCCAAAGTCCATCGCCACCAGTTCATCACTGCGCGAGGTCGTCCAAGTTGTGGACGACCGCATTCTTACATTCGATCCGGACGAGAAGGACAGAGCAAAGGCGTTCATGGAGAGAGGATTCCTGCCGCCAGGGACAAAGCGGTATAAGGATAGGCGGTTCATGTTTGACAGAGTGTTTGACTACGAGGCAAGGCAGCGAAATGTCTATGAGGGCACAACGCAGCCGCTGCTGAAGGGTCTGCTTGACGGGTACAACGCTACGGTGTTCGCTTACGGGGTGCGTTGTCTGCCAGTGTCATTCAACCATGTCTCACCAAAAAAACTATAGGCAACCGGATGCGGCAAGACACACACAATAAGCGGAACAGAAGCAGATCCGGCATCATATACCTCACAATGGCCGACCTCTTCCAGCAGATCGAAGACCGACGAGACGACTACAACGTCGATGTCTCCGTCACCTTCCTCGAAATCTACAACGAGGAGATCCGCGATCTGCTTGCCGATGCGGGTAGCAACGCCCCTCGAGGCGGTCTGTCCATTAGAGAGGACAAGACCGTCAAGGTCGTTGGCCTCAACGAGCTCAAACCCAACTCTGCTGAAGAGGTCAAGGAGATCGTCCTCCAAGGCAACTCGCGCCGGACACAGAGCCCAACACACGCCAACGAAACCTCTTCCCGCTCTCACGCTGTTCTCCAAGTCCACATTACCCAAGCGCCTCGTACCGCTTCAGTCTCTGAGCAGCGCACAGTGGCCACTCTGTCTATTATTGATCTCGCTGGCAGCGAACGCGCCGCTGCGACTAGCAACATGGGCCAGCGGATGGTGGAGGGCGCCAACATTAACAAGTCACTCCTTGCCCTGGGCAACTGTATCAACGCCCTCTGTGAAAGCGGCGGAGCAGTCCGACACGTCCCTTACCGTAACAGTAAACTCACGCGTCTTCTCAAATTCTCGCTCGGCGGTAACTGCAAGACGGTCATGATTGTTTGCGTGGCACCCACTTCCATACATTTCGACGACACCCACAACACCCTCATCTATGCCGAACGCGCTACCAAAATCAAGACCAAGGTTGTCACGCGTAATGTCGTCAACGTTGATCGCCATGTTGGACGTTATGTGGAGGCTATCAATCGTCTCAACACCGAGATCGCAGAGTTGAAAGCCAAAATCTCTGGCAAAAACAACGCTGAGAGCCAGATCCAACAGCGCAAGAGAGCAGAGGCTGCAGCAGAAGTGGAGCGATCAAAGGAGGATATGAAGCTCAAGTTCGAGCAGACGAAGGACTCTATTGTGGACGGGGCCCACTGCTCGGGCAAGATTTCTGTAGCCAACATCAAGTTGGCAGCTATACGGGCCCGTTTGGCGGAACTGGACTCCCAGGACATCTCTTCATCGGCCGATCTTCAGGCGGAACGTGCTCTGTTATTGGGCCTTGCTGAGCCAGAGGAGAGCGCGATCAAACCCGAATCTGTCCTCTTAACCAGATTGCAGCGCTCTTCGAACTCTAGAAACATGTTCGACGCGACGATGCGAGCAGTTTCAGAGAGGCGGTCTGAGAAGCTCGACGAATATGGAATAGAGATGATCAAACTAGACGCCAGGCGCAGAAAAGCGGAGGTGGAAGCGATGAAAGCCCAACAGGAGAAGGATGCTATGAAGGATGCAGTGGAAGATTTAGCTCAACTTATGGTCGCTCTCGTTGGTATGCTGGGCCGATGTACAGTCACTGTCGGCGATGCTGGGAGAGTCCTTGGAGGCGCGTCGGGAGACGATCTACCTCAGGCTGCAGCCAGCGTCTCTTCATTGCTCAGTCAAGTCAAAGAGAAGAATGACGAGGCTTTCACCAAACTTGTGGGCCACTCCACGAGCGGTTACACGATGGCTGGCTCTACCGTGTTGGACAGTTACAAGAACTATACCAATCCCACGTTTACACGTCGGGTCAGCTCTGGACCTTCATCTTACTCTAGTTCCCGGCGGTCGACAGCCTACGATGGGGACTCTTCCTCTGCTTCTCCCCGAAGAAACCATAGATCCCCTAGAAGGTCGATCCGCTCCAGTTTGGCCTCACAACCTTATCGTAGAGTTTCTGATAAGGAAAGGAAGGTATCCAAGTCCGGCAAGAGCGTGCAATGGAAAGACGAAGCTGGTCGAGGGCATCTCGACGACGGAGGCTCTGGTCTTTCAGCGCCACCACCCGTCAAAGTTGTTCCTGCAAGTCCCAGTCCAGCCGAACGAACACCGAATGGCCGCAACACGCCGAGTGGTCGTACTACCCCAACAGTTCGTCCAGCATCTCGGGCCGGGTCTGAGAGTGAATGGGAGGATGACGACAAGACGGATGACAGCGTCCATCTCTCCGTTTCTCAGTCTAGTTTGAGACCACCCAAGCACGCCTACGGGTCGCTTGGATCCGGCCGACGACCTCGCGCGAGTCGCTTAGATCCTGGTTTCCTCAAACCCAAGGGCAAAGCGACGACTTTGGGCAGTTTGGCAGAGGGCGACGAGAGTGATGAGGAATTTGGTCGACGCGTCCAGCCATTGGGCCCAAGAACCCTCAACTCTCAGGAGGATGAGATTTTGGGTGAGCGTCATCACCGTAGTGGATCTGGGGGACAGAAGAAGCACGGGAGTCCAGGTCGCCGAGTATCCTCAGCTTCTCGAATGGGTTCAACGCCTGGGAAGAGTCGTCGACGGTCCAACATTGGTGCTTTGCGCATGGAGAAGACGCGTCGGCGATCCAGCATGATTCCTCAGCTCTCCCCGCCGAACGGGGAGACGCGGTCTCGGAGGATGCTGATCGCTAGCCCGGCGAAACGGGTCAAGCGGATTTCCATGTCATCGCGAGGCATGCCGCCCATGCGATTAAAGCCCTTTCCGACCTCAACGAGTTCCGCCTCGACCTCGTCGGCTACCAACTCATCCTTCGTGAACGACGGTAATACTAGCATCGGGGACACCAGCATCAACAAATCTTTACGACCGACGTGGCGATGAATTACGACCGTTATGTGTTAAGACTATTTTATCTACGTGTAACCTGTCTACTATGTACTTGGCTTACGTTGTGAGCTCATTATCATGCAGTCATTCCTCTTGTCAATCTCCATGTGTAATAGTATAAATAAGCCATATACCATTGTGTCATATATCGTAGACCGAAATGTATATGTGGGCATTCTGGACAAGCTTCGTACCAGTGTTCACCAGCGCCACATATGTAAACTTCCATCAACAGGGAAGAACACGGACATGGTTGCCGCTCATCAAGATTTTGATCGTTTGCTCTGGTGTCACGAACCATGAAAAGCCCTTTGTGTGCTTTCCGCTGCCATGCGCAACAGGATACTTGCACGCTCGCAAGCGAGACACGTAGGGCAGGCCTTGGAGATGAAGATGTAGATGATGAATAGAATTAAAAGGAGGTATATGGAATCCCATTCTGCAGCCGTTAGTCCAGCATGGCAGTGCATTTCCAATATTATCCGCTCACTTTCTCGCTTCCGGGTGTACATCCAGCTGTTCAAGGATAGTGTCACCTAGGTTTGCCATGGCTTTGACTGTATCGGATTACTATTGAGCGCATGCCGCGACCATTAGACACTGACCAAGCTCAACATCACTTGAATTAAGGTCTTTTACGCTACCTGGGAGGCCGTCCGTCACTGACGCCGTCTAAAGCATGTAACAACACGTACCAACGTGAGTTTTAGGTATTACTTGGATGTGATGTCGACTAGAAGGACTACGGTCCCTAAAGGCCACAAACTTCTCGTCCTAGAGGAGTGCAGTCCTCAGAAAATAGGGATGTAACGCGGGGACGTGAAGACGTACTTCGTAGATTATGTTGAACCCATTTTCTTTGGAGACATGACAGAAAGGACAGTGTTTGACGTATGCAGTCGAGTTGGCCTCAAAATCATCAGTTAGACGCACAGCCGGTCGTCTGGAAAAAGGCCAGAATGTGAAGCAATTTGGCATCGCCTCGGTGAAGGTAATTGACAAGCACTCCAACCCGGAGTTGCCGCCGGCACAGTTCCAATAAGGGGTGATCGTCTGACATCAAGTGTGGCGTATTTAACTCGTAATTTCGGAAAGCTAGCTCTTAGCTCTTTATTCTTGAAAAAACTCAAAATGTAAGAAACTTAGAAGCTTCAAAAAGAGACCTCGACGTGATTCGAACACGTGGCCCTGCGATGTTGCTGTTCGAATCCCGTAGGGGTTTCACTGCAATCGCATGCTCTAACCACTGAGCTACGAAGTCTTAGCGGATAGATGGATGGATGGATGATGTCTCATTTAAGGTGGGTGTCAAGCCGTAATAATAAACCGTCCGTCGCAAGTAGGCTAGGGGCTTCTATGGTAGATTCCCCAGCTACGGAATGGAAAGATGATGAGAGAAGAGATGAGTAAATGATGATAGTGAAAGAAAAGAGTAGGGAAGAAGGAGATGTTGAAAGAAGAAGAGGAAAGGAATTGGCATGAAAGAAATCTTGTGACGCGACAATGCGGCGGTGGCTCTACTCCTCGCGCACGCGCTTGAGGGGGCGCTCCTCGAGCTCCTTCAGATCCTCCGCGGTCGAGATGTCGAACCCTCCTCGCCTAACTGCCTTTCGGCATGATGTTGGCGATACGCCCGCTCGACCCTGGCACCCGACTCGTATTCCAGGAATAGTTAGAGTGCCTACGAAGTCTTGTTGATGTGCAATGTGCAACTCATAACAGCCCAGTCTTCTAGCGGAAGCCAAGAAGATACTTAGAGTTAAACGTTAATTACACAACGAGATTGATGGATAAATACAACATGCTAAAGAGCCCAATCCCAGTGCCATCGCTCATCCTCAGGCTCTGAGACACACATTCGATGTATATCAATGTCTGGTCTCCACACTCTGACCACACCCTCGTCAGAACACGTCGCCAATCCTTCCGAGCTCCAATCCACAGCCCCAATCTCACCCTTCATTTCTGGACCGCCGTTGAGCTTCACAGCTTGTGAGCCTAGCGTAACGCCACGTCGGCCGGCGTTGTGCACGTCGAAAAGGAAGGCGTTACCAGTAGGACCACCACATGAAAGCCATCTGCCGCAAGGAGAAACGGAAATGCCGACGTAGAACGAGCCGCATGACATGTGGGAATGCGTGTAATTGGTTTCACAGCCGACGAGGGTGGACATGGTGTATGTGTGAACTCGAGCGTCCGCACTGAGACCGAATAATACGCCAGCCGTTGGCCCACTACCCTTGCAAAGGCTCTTGATCCCACGAGGACGCCGTGAGCCGTGAAAGCATGTGGGGTCATTGAGCGACATGACTATGGGTTTAGGTTTTGGCGCCCGTTTCTTGCTTTGTAGCAGCCGCACATCCCAGCAGCGGAGGATCCTGTTACAGTATCAGTACGAAGTCAGAGAGATACAAAATGCACCAACCCATTGGTCGTACCGCTACTTATGAGATTGTAGGGTGCGATGTCGCTGTACACTAAACCAGTGATGCTGGAGCTAGTGTTCGTCTTTTTACGCAACTTGGTCTCATCGTGAGCATTGAAGATGGATGCCACAGGATCAGCTGCCGCTTGCACGCTCTGTCTAAGATCCCAGAGGTGGATACTACCATCACGGCCACCAGTTGACAAGAGATTAGGATTTGTCGGGTCCCATGCTATGCGCTTGACCGAGCTGGTGTGACCACGTAATGTATGAAGGAGAGTCGATGTTTCCAGGCAAGTGATCTTTGTGGTTTGGTCTGCCGAGCCAGTAGCGAGAAGAGAATCAGACTCGTTCCACTGAACATCGAATATGCCGTTATTGTGAATTTGAAGGAAAGCCCTTGCCGGTTCTGGAGAGCGATGAGTGTTAACTAGTACGCGGTGGAATGAAGCGCGTACCTAGATCCCATGGATCTCGGCGGCTTGTGTTCATTATCTGGACAAAGCCGTGTTCCGTGGCGACGGCGAGCAATGATGTCCCTCCGCTTTTAGCGCCTATTTTTGGATTTAGCGCTAGGCTTAATGAATGTACCGGAAAACAGACCATGGCTGTAGGAAGACGCGTAGATGGGAGGAAGTGCCAGGTCGGCAGCAGGGCAGACATATGAGTCTAACCGCTTAGAAGAGACAAACGACTGAAGAATAGGACGTGTGGATACTAAATCATGTTAGAAATTGCACACAGAAACTTTCACAGGACATACCTTCTCCCGGTCGATGTGTGAGGCCACGGATAGTAGTTGGACGTCGCCGTATTGGTGCGACGGATGGCGGTGCATCACTCCCACATGCTGACTGCTCACTGTCGCTGTCATTGTCCTCGCCAATATCAATGTCGTCCATCTTGGAGCGTTTACGTTGGACATCATCGACTGCCTTTAGCGGCCGTTTGAGTGTTCGGCATTTTGGAGGCGTCGGCAGGAAGGACAAGGTCTGCTGGAGTTTCTGAGGCCTTTTTTCAAGAGGATTGAAGTTGGTGCGGTTGTGGAGGATGGGGCGCTGCGGCGATGAGCTCGGGCTCGGGAGCATGGTGGTCCGCTACAAACAGCCAAATAAACCGACGCGTTTTCAATCTCGATCACGTGTGCTGACATCATCGGCTTTATCGGAAACTTTCCAAAAACTTTTCCTGCTTCTCCTCCACCATGTATCGGGCACCTCTAAGGTCGATGGCCACGCTGGCCCGGCAGAAACTAACAATTGGTCTCATTCCTGCCGATGGCATTGGCAGGGAGGTCATTCCAGTTCGTTGAACACTTTGAAACCAAATGCAAGCATTCAAAGTCCTTATAGGCCGCGAGGACCGCTATAGAGGCTCTAGGATCAGACATTCCTCCTCCGAAATTCATCGACTTGACTGCCGGTTGGGAAACGTTCACCCGCACTGGCGAAGCTCTTCCTCCAGAGACAGTCCAGTGAGAACTCCTCAAATATCAATCATTCTTCCAGCCTCATGCTATCGTAGGGTTCTCAAAGACGAGTGCGACTGCGCACTCTTTGGTTCCGTTAGCTCTCCGTCACGTAAAGTGGTCGGGTACTCCTCCCCGATTGTAGCTCTTCGTAAAATTCTCGACTTGTACGCCAACGTTCGCCCGGTATTATCAGTATGTATCTCCATTGCATCAGACGCATCGTCCTTGATGACATTCCAGGTATCACCAAACCCCGGTGAACCAGCCGCGGTTGACCTTGTTGTAGTCAGAGAAAACACAGAATGTCTTGTACGTCTAGTCCCGCCAGGTCTGCCAGAATTCCGCCGACGATTACGACAATACCTGCAGTACATCAAGCAGGAAGAGCTTATAAACACTCCCTATGGCAAGGAAGCCCGTGCAACAAGACTCATCACTGAACGGGCATCGAGACGAATTGGGCAGATGGCATTTGAGCTAGCACTTGCTCGTCCTAGAAAAGTACCATCCATACATCATCAGTTATTCTTGAACTAACGAATCTTTTTTCAGCATCTGACGATTATCCACAAGTCTAATGTCTTGTCAGTGACCGATGGGCTTTTCCGCGAGACTGTTCGTTCGGTCCCTACAATCGACGCCAAATTCCAAGCTGTCACTATCATGGAGCAGCTCGTTGACAGTGCCGTGTATAGGCGAGTCATCTCCTATCTTCATCATTCTGCGTCTGACCTCCCGGACAGGCTGTTCCGTGAACCCCAGTAAGGTGATCTTACAATGCAAACACATAAACCTGACTATGTTGTGTCAGAGTTTTCGACGTCATGGTCGCACCTAACCTTTACGGTGACATTCTCTCGTCAGTATTGCTTTAACCGTCTATATTAGCACTGATCCGCCTACACAGTGATGCTGCCGCCGCTCTCGTTGGGTCACTTGGGGTGGTTCCTTCCATCAATGCCGGCGACGACTTCGTAATGGGAGAGCCGTACGTATCCCTTGTTCTCCCTAAAATCTGTCTTTCTAACATGTTGTTGCAGTGTCCATGGCTCTGCTCCGGATATCGTGGGACAGAACATCGCCAACCCCATCGCGTCCATCCGATCTGCTGCCTTGATGCTCCGTCACCTTGGCTATACTAAGGGCGCCGATAGAATTGATGCTGCGGTGGATTCTGTCGTCCGGGAGGCGGAGTACTTGACTCCCGATCTTGGTGGCAAGGCCAAAACCGATGCAGTTGTAGATGCCGTAGTGAAGAGGATCTAACTGCCCTACATGTCCTAGATACCTGCCTTGAATGCTTAGTGGATTGTTACGAAATTTTACGCAAAAACCCTTGCAAATAAGACCATTTATATGATAAGTAAATACTGCGTCCATAGGTCTACTAAGTATACAACGGTGGTGGAGAACTGTCGTCACTTGAGAAGCCTGAAAGCTCACTCGACGATACATATTTACTAAGTAATTTAACTTCCTTCCTCAGCTCATCTATTTCACGCCGCATCATCTGCGCTCGAACGGAAGACGTAGTCGAGCGGGTGGACGAAGAGGACTTGCTGCGTGACGGGCCAGCAGCATCTATCGTCTCGATCCCCGCGAAAGCAACCTGCTTCGCCACCCTGCGATGTATTTGTTCAGCATTGTCGGGGGAGTTGGAAGGGGGCGACGAGTACCTGAGCTGCTGTCACCGCTCCCAGGCAGCGGCGGCAAGATCTTTGAGAGCCTGGGCAGGCTGCCGAGCACGTCGGACTTTGGGGATCTTGAGGTGTCCGACAGGCGCACTTTGTAGGTCTTCTCGCGCACCGGCGTGATCACCACGGCTTGGGGAGGAATCTGGATCTTCCTCCTGCCGCCTCTGTCCTGGGCGGTGGCAGGAAGGATGTAGGGCTCGTTTCTAGTGGAGTTGCCTGTTGGCGCGACAACGAGGAATGGGCGATCAGGAGACCGCTTGGAGGCACCAAAGGGGAACGGAGGGGATTGCACGGTCGGCTTTGGGCGAGAGATGTCGACGACGACTTCAGAGCGCTGGAAGCCCTTCAGCAAAGAGGAAGGATCTTGCTTTTCGGACGAGCGGACTGCCATCCGAGAACTAGGGACAGAGGACTTTGGAAAGATATTTGGGACGTGGTGCAGGATAGAGTGCATGAAGGACTGAGACTGAGGCTTTTCGTCGGTACTAGCCGCAAAGTTCCCTTCTTCAGGATGACGGGCTATGCGATGTCTGCGATAGAAGACGCAGAGCACAAAGGTGAGCAACAGCGCGCATACTCCGCCCAGCACGCCCCCAACGATGGCGCCCACCCTGCTCATCTCAGAAGAGACGTCCCGAAACGATTGCCCGGTGTCGTAGGATGTCACTGAT